ATTTTGATCAATTTATTATTACTGCATAGTTCGTCAAAACAAAGAAAAAGTGGCTGGCTGCACTACTAGCTAATTAAAAAAAAGTATTTAATTAAATTTAAGCTATTTAAATTATGTAATGATGTAATAAATGTTTAAATATTTATCAGATTGATTATTCATTCATTCATTCAGGTATATTTATCAGGAGCAAAAACAATGAGGAGCTTAATCTGGTTTTTATCTATTCTTTATCTCAGTATTAAATTGGATTAATGTAAACACGGATACAATGACATTGGTTATAATGGGTTTTTGTGAAGATTGTTTAAAGTTCACTTAAATTAGAAGTTATTTTATTAAAGTCTAATAAATATTAAAATTGATAGCTCTCAATTATACTATACATATGTTGAATGGCTATAGTCAATGGATAATATTAGGAAAAAAAATGTATAGAGGCATCAGTAGTATTGGTGTCAGTGATACTGGCCTTCACTCATAAAAAAAAAAGATGCCATTAAACAAATATTAAAAATATACTGTCTTTATGTTGTTTCTACATTAATTTGAAGATTACAAGTGAAATTATTGCAATATAAAAGCATTTTTTAAAAGTTTAATGTTAGGTGGGATTAATCGCGATTAAGTTTAAGTTATCAGTGGCAATTTTGGGAAACTGATTTATTTATTTTGATCAATTTATTATTACTGCATAGTTCGTCAAAACAAAGAAAAAGTGGCTGGCTGCACTACTAGCTAATTAAAAAAAAGTATTTAATTAAATTTAAGCTATTTAAATTATGTAATGATGTAATAAATGTTTAAATATTTATCAGATTGATTATTCATTCATTCATTCAGGTATATTTATCAGGAGCAAAAACAATGAGGAGCTTAATCTGGTTTTTATCTATTCTTTATCTCAGTATTAAATTGGATTAATGTAAACACGGATACATTTACACTAAATAAAACCAGAGAAATACTCAACACAATTGTTGGAGAACTGCAGCATTTAACTACAAAGATACTCAGGGCCTCTGTGAATTTTAAACTGGTTCATTTACAGCTGTCTGAAAGAAATGATTCACTATAATGAATCCAAACTCTGCACAGCTTAGACATAGAGTATTTGATTATTGTATCAGCCTACAAAGCCACAAAGCTGTTATCTTAAAAAAAAAAAACCCAATGTAGCATTGTTTGCCTTCTACATGGAACTGAAAGGAGTTTTGTGAGTTAATTGACAACTAATAGATCCCCAAAATCTAAAATTATAATAAATAATTTAAAAATAAAATCTAAATAAAATGCTTAAATAGCATAATATTGCAGACCATTAACTGATGCCAGAGAACCGTAAACATGTACAAATTTTAAATTATCGAAATTTTAACTTAATATCTCAGGAAGCACTTAAAGTAAATATTTTGGGTTGAGTGGGTTTGGCTTACAAAAAAGTTTAGGAATCCCTGTCCTAAGCAAAAAGTAGCTTGTTGCTGTAAACTACTGTCTCACTGCTGAAAAAATGTAGTTAATTTACTAGTATTGCTGCTGTTAGTTACTTCCCAATGCTGATCAGTGGCATACAATATTAGTTCTTCTCTGTCAATGTTGCCAACACTGGGTGAATGGGACTCTATCCTCTAGGTAGCCACTGCACTCTTCATCTCAGCATATTCAACACCCATTACAAATTCCAATTATTACTCTCTAAGCCATACAGATCTCGAAAGCTTCTGCATCCTGTGCTGTGATTTGCTCTGTTGCCCCTTATGGGTGTCTCCGTGGGAGCCATAACAGTAGTAAATTATTACCCAACTTTTTTTCAAAACATGCTGACTACAACAACATGCATCTAATTGAGAACTTACTCGCTAATAATGACTTATCATACTCTGCTCAGCACAGTGCTGATGCAGGCAGGCTCATTTAGCAAGCCAGTGTTTACCACTTAATGAAGTCTGAAAATGTCAGATGGAGAGAGAGAGAGATAGGACAAAGGGTTGCATATGGATTTGGCCATTGAAATCCTCTCACTGCAGTGCCCCCTGAGTATTTATTTATTTATTGTTACAACCTTCATTTACACATTTGCTTAATGGGCAGTTCAGTGAAAGTATATAGTAGTGCTGTTTTTATTTATGTTTTTGCCAGGTCAGTAGGTTAAGTGTGTATCATAGCCATTCCATGGTGATGAAAGAGGTAATGTAATGCATCACTCTCCTGCTATTCTCCTGCTAAAGCAGGAGTAGCAGGCCTGTTGTTGCTTTGCCACGACCTCCACTGTAATCTGTCAGTCAGCCTAACTGTGGCTGATTTCATTTCATTTTCTTTTATAGGTCATTTTCCCCTAGACTGTTGTCTTTCTGTCCTCAAAATATATACTGTCTGTCTTCAGTAGGTGGTGCTGAGGTTGATGTATTTAGGTAATCTTCTGGATTTCTTCTTCATGTATCTCTCTCACTGCATAAAACTATTTACATTTGACCACATGAAGGCCAGATCAAAGATCTCAATATTACCTATGGTGTCCCACAGGGGTCAGTTCTTGGCACCATTCTGTTCCTCAACTACATGCTCTCACTAATTGAGATCATAAACAAAAGAAGCATAATGTTTCACAGCTATGCTGATGATAAACAGCTTTATTTTAAAACTACCCCCTGCTTTCACAGCACTAAAAAAAACATTGCCTTTATATAATCTGCCTGTTTGCAGCCATAATCATAATGTTTTAACCCGTTTTAAGTACTCTTATCTACTTCTCTTCTCTGAGATTGCCTAATGCAATGAAAAGAACTATACTAATTGAAATGATTATTAGTGATGAGGTAATAGTGAAGATAAGATTGATATATGCGTTGAGTTGGGCCTGTATATGCTAGATATAAATACCCTGATAACTGAAGCTCTATGTATGTTTTCAGTCCTTTCTTTGCCTACTGTACAGTGATGGTAGCTATTTTTCTGTTGGGGTGACAGATGAATGGAGGTATGGGTGCTCTAATTGTTTCTTGTGAGGGGGGCTGTCTGGATGGGCTGTCTATTCCCCCTTAGAGGGAACCTCCACTTTTCTTTTCTCTGTGCACAACTAACCAAGAGCTGTTTGCTTATTCGCACAGCCAACCCGTCTTCCCTTTTCATATCATGCATTAAAAGGGGCATCCTCCCTTTGTTTTCTACCCATCCAGACCTCTCTTTCATATTCTCCTCTAATTTCTTCACTGTTTCTTCTTGAATAACCCTTCGCCTGACCCTTCACCTTCATCTGCAAAATTACTTTACCATTCTGAGCTGCAGTATTGGGGTATAACTAAAATGTAATAAAAGTAACAATAATACTAACATACTACTAATACTGGCATTATTTTTAATTGGATCATTTCAAAACCAATTTCAGTCATTTCATTAAAAAAACCCTTATCAATTCAGTTGAGTCAATGAGACATTTTCCATTATGCTGCTGTTCATCTCTTAATTTTATTTATTTATTTATCAATCAATCAGTGCTTCTTTCTGTATGTTACGTCATTAGATGGCGAAGTGACTATTTGAACTGTCATTGAACATTTATTTAAAATATTTGTTCAAAATCTCTGATTCATTTAAGAAAGAAAAATATTATGAATGAGTCATTGAATCATTCATTCAAGTAATTCGTTCAAAAATGCTGAATCATTCAGTAATGAAGCAAGCGACTGCCTTTATGAGCAATTCATTGAATCATTCACTCAACCAATTCATTCAAAAACACTGAATCATTCAGGAACCAAACTTAACATGTTTAGAACTAGCAACGACAGATCTTGAATTCATAGCATGTGTGGCTCCATACACAATGTATTTGGGATATTGTTTTTTTTTTGTTTGCTTATTTACATATTTGTCTGCCTAACTGGTTGTATTATTTGTGATTGGTATATCATATATCGGCACTCGGTGTGTGCTATTATTCATTCATTCATTCGTTTGTTTGTTTGTTTTTGTATTTATTTATTTCCCCTGAAATGGGTAACTGTTACAGCCGGCTCTTAGGCTGCAACAAAGAGGAGTCCAGACACAGCAATGCTTAACAAAACATTTATTTTAACACAACAAAACTAACATAACTGTAACATAAATGAAGGAACGAGTCAGAGCCGGGCGGGACACTCAGCACCACGCAAACCATCGAGCTCCATGCCGGAGGCGATCTCCTCACCACGCGCCATACCAGGCACATTTAACTCCGAGTCCAAACAAGTGTCAGGTGTACGAGCCACACCCCCTCCAAGCGGCACCTAAAACACACACACACACACACACGCGCGCGTACGCACAGCCTAAGCTGGAACGTCACAGTAACAATTTCAAATTAGATTCTCTGTCACTGCTGGGTTGCGTCATGAGCCGGGTGATGACATTGACTGCAATAAATGGAGAGGTTGATCCAAGAATGGTTTTGGTTCAATTATTAGCTTTGTTCAGTCCAGGGTTTGCATGGATGCCACAGTCAGAGTCCAGGCCACCTCAAACGCTCAACTCCATTAATAATACAGTTTCAGCAGGGTCTCGGCCCCCACCGCCTGCATAACAAGATGTGCCTTAAGTAATGTTCTCATCTGCTGGAAATAACACAACTAATAGTGAGATGCAACAAGGCCCTGCCGCTCCTATTATCAATATGTGGCAGGAAGCGAGAGAGGCTCCGCAGCAGATGCAAATTAGAAAGGGAGAGAAACTTGTCACTGCTGTTGAAATCATTCTAATCTTTTTACCGAGGTGAGACCACAGGAGAGCACAACAACATGCAGGCCTGTGGCGTATACTGTAGTCACACCCTGTACGTTTGTGAGAAATTATCCTGTTTAAAACATGTGATGCAGCTATAGAAAACCACTTACCTGGGTAGTGCTTTACGCCTCAGTGCTTTAATGCATTGTGTTTGTGCATTTTTATCTATGCATAATTTTTGTTTTCTTTTACATTTATCTTGTTGTCCATTGTTTTCCATTTTTCCCATGATGCCTCTGAAGCATACCTTGATGATGATTTTGATGAATTCGATGACCCCTTTGGAGATATTCCATTCAGTAAGTTGCCATTGAACCTCAACCCCTGTGAATATGTCCAAATTGAATTCAATTTCCTGATCCTCAAGCAATATATTTTGTTACGTTTTATGTATTTGTGCGTTTTAGTTCGTGTGCTTGTAAAATAGACGGTCATTTCCTGTGTAGCCTCTATTAACCTGATCCACCTGCTCCTGTTTATTGTGCCCAAGTTAACTGGCCACCTATCAGAGGTTTTCCGGCCATCATATGACAATGTCCTCTGTTATTTGTTCATCATTGGCCTTGCCACTAGCAATATTGAATTTCTAACCATTTTATTTAATATTTCTCAACTTGCTTTCCACGGATGCAACCAAAAAGGGATCAGGGCACTCTTTCCTGGACTTCAGAAAGGTACATGCTGAACTAAACCTGTAGCTGTTGGTGAAATTAGTGTGAGATAAGTTTGATGTGGTTGTTAGTATTCAAAAGCAGTAGATTTCTTTGCATCACGGGACACTATTTCACCACTTAACTTTGCCATTTTTTAATTTGGTTTCCTGTATTTGAAGAAGATTTCCCCACAGACGCGTTTTGCCTTTAGATCCAAGCCTTATTTGCATTGTCTTGAAGCATGGATTAATCGGAAATGCTTTCTTATTGAATTTTAAAGTTTTCATTTGTGGCCAATTATGCAGTGAAAGCAGACCGCATTCTATTTGGCTTTCTCTCACTCTGAGATAGTCTCCGTGATCCCAGAACAGCCTGCTGATGTGTATTAACATGACTAATCATCTCTCTGATCATCAGAATAAACTCGCAGAACCGTGGTTTCCCAAAGGGAACGAGATGCTTTGTCGGAAACGCTATGGAAATGCCTCTGCGTGACCGCATACTGAAGCACGTGTGAAATCAGTCCAATAGAATAGCAAAACATCACAGGCAGGTGACGTAGAGTCCAGGAAGCTATAAAAGCGAAAATGGCGTCAGCTTCTGATAGGTTGAAGCAAGTGCTTACAGGGATGCAGGAAGTATGGCAGGCGACGGAGCATCTCGTTCCCTTCAGGGAACCATGGTTACATATGTAACCTAGGGACGTTCCCCTTCAGGAACTCAATCTGCGTCGGAAACGCTATGGGAACGAGAATACCAACTCCGCCATACTGAAAAATGGCTGTCTAGTGTGAAGACTGCATGCACAGTCTCTAAAGTCTAAAGTCACAGTCTCTAAAGCCTAGAGTAGTTCCCAAATCTAGGATATAAAACCTGGCAAAAGTGAGCGGGGTAGACCAACCCGCAGCCTCACAAATGTTGTGCATATAGACACCAGATAAGAGTGCCTTTGAGGCCGCCATACTCCTAGTAGAGTGGGCCCTGACCCCCAAAGGTGACGGGAGGTCAGAGGACTCATAGGCGAGGGAGATATCCTCAACTATCCATCTGCTTAATGTCTGTTTGGTCGCTGAAGTGCCTCTCTTGGGCGGACCAAAGCAAACAAAAATTTGCTCAGACTTTCTCCACGGCAGCTCTGTGGACGTGTGTGTCCAGTGCTCGCACACTAAATTAAGCTTCTCCTGGTCTGGCTCCCAGAAGGGAGGTGGACAGAATGCCTGAAGCACTACCGGCCGCGGAATCTGAGTAGGCATCTTTGGCTCAAAACCAGGCCTCGGGTGCAAAAAAGCTTTGACTATCCCAGGTGCAAATCCAGACATGATGGGGCCTCTGAAAGGGCCTGAAGATCACCAACCCTCTTAAGAAAGGAAATGGCAAGAGGAAGCACTGTCTTAAATGTTAAAAACTTCTCAGAAACCTCCTGTAGAGATTCAAAGCGAGCCTTACTAAGCCCCTCCAAGACCAAGGCCAGATCCCATGCCGGGACTTTAGTGCGTAGAGCAGGCCTCAGCCTCAAAGCACCATGGAGGAAACTGGTTACGAGCGGGTTTCTTCCTAATGATAAACCCTCCAAAAAGATGTGGTAAGCAGATATGGCTGCCACGTATACCTTTAGGGTGGAAGAAGTCAACCCTGCAGAGAATCGTTCTTGCAGGAACTCCAGCACTGAACCAACCAGGCAGTTAACTGGGTCCAGCTGATGATCTCCACACCATAAAGTAAAAAGCTTCCACTTCAAGGCGTACAGTTTCCTCGTGGAGGGAGCACTGGAGTGAAGGATGTTCTCAACAACCTCAGTTGAGGGCCAGAATCTATGAGATGTGCCCCGACCCATAGTTTCCATAGGCCACACTCATAGTTTCCATAACTCCAGGTGGAGATGAACGATCCTGCCGCCCCACTTGAGTTAGAAGGTCCCACCTGATGGGAATCGCCCAAGGGGAGTCGTCGAGAAGGGGTACAAGGTCAGAGAACCATACTAACCATACTAACAATAGAGAGATCCCATCCTGGAAGCAGAGCAATCGGGGGAAATGCGTACAGACAAAGCCTTGGCCACGCATGGACCTTGAGACAGGAAACAAGGCTTCTTCCACATGGCTAAGGCACAAAGGCATTGCCGCGTGACCTTGATCAAGTAAAATGAGTTGCCCCTCGGGGTAAACCCTTTGGTCTTGAGCCACCACTGCAAGGGTCTCATGTACAGCAGGCCAAAAGTAATGGCATTGGACGCAGCTGCCATCAGACCCACTAGTCTCGGAAACTATTTTACAGTGAGTGTCTGGCCTAATCCTTCAGGGATAATGCTGCTTCCGGGGACAGATAGCTGACCAGCATCTGTTCAACCCATGGCATAATCCCATTGCCGTTGTCTTTCAGCCCCAAAATGTTGGAGTACATTGATACATTGGGGCTGAAAAGACAAGCTGAATACAGCCTTTCCCATGATCTAGACACCTCAGTGTGAAGATCAGGGAAGAAGGGAAGGCTCCGGCGTGGAGGAGGTGACTTGGAGTCAGGAAATGCTCATCCAGTTTACTTTTAAGACGAACGTCCTGCTGCTAAGCTGGCCACTCTATCTTTAGCCTATCAACAGCGCGAGTCACCACCTCCAGCAGCTCCTCATACTGAACAGACTGAGGTGACGAGTCCTCAGTCTCACTTTGTTCCTTGCTTGCCACATCAACCTCCTCAGAGGAAGAGAGGCAAAGCATAGTGCCTTCCCTCCAGGGGAAGAATACGCAGTGCGGGCTTCCGAACCCAGAGAGGGAGCAGTGGATCTAACAGGTGAAGGCAGAGAAAAGGCCACGCCCATCTCCAACCACTCTGCCAGATCCATTTGCGATCCCCACAATCTCAATCGCCACTGTGACTCAGCAAAAGCGGGACCAGAACTGCGAGGACCGCGAGTCCGATCACTTTCCTCAAAAAGTGCCACATGGGAGTGGAGCGTTCGCAGCTGCTCAAAATGTACACAATCAGCACCCTCATGATCCGATCCCAAACAAACAATGCACAGATCATGTGTATCCCCACCCGTAATGAAACGCTGGCAGGGAGGAACACATGAACTGAAATGCTGCTTGTCACTCGTCATATCTATGAACTGAATTTGTGCACTGGCACAACACACACACTTCCAACAGACTATGTTTTTAACAGACACATCACAGAGCGCTTGCTGAAGAGCAGAAGCTGACGCTGTTTTCACCGGATGCGCTTTTATACTTCCTGGTCTCTATGTCACCCGCCTGTGACATTTTGCTATTCTGTTGGACTGATTTCTCACGTGCTTCTGTACGCGGTCACACAGAGGCGTTCCCGTAGCCAGTGGCGTGCATGAGGGGGTGGGGGGGGTTGGTGGGCTCGAGTTACATTTTCGATGCAACTGACATTCTCCTGTGGATAATGGATCAACCCCTTCCTCGAACTCGACATCTAAATTCAAATATAAAATGCAGACATTGTATGATAAGGAAAATAAAAGAGCCATCAGACAGTGCCATGCAGATTCATATGAGGAAGAGGTGAGATTTCATCAGTCACAAACAATCATTGTGCCACCAAAATGGAAAGGAGCAGTTCAGAGGTGACCTTGTAAATACAAAGCTTATTGGCTGCCATGTGGAGTTGCAAATGAGAGGATTTGAAATAGCATTTCTTCTCTCTCTGTTTGTGGTATTAAGAAAAAAAAGAGAGGGAAATTGACATGCACCACACACGCACACTCGGAGATCCGCTCGTAATGACCCTGATGGTCGATCAGGACTTAGAAGAACAGAAGACAAGACCCCACGCAATCAGTGCTGCTTACTGGGTCTGATTGATTTGCTTGTTTCTGTGTTGTCAGTCTTTTCCTCCATTGTGGCAGATTGTGTCTCCAGGAAAGTGTAGGACTTTTCCCCCCATCCATTATGAACTCTATTAATCATTACTCTTTAACAGACTCTGTAACCAATTAGTTTCAATGTTTGGCAAAAACAGGATTTTCAGTCCATTTATCATGAGCATTGTATAATTATTAAAACAATTACCTTCTCGGCAGAATGCGCCGTTGCAGTTTTCCATCATGGGACGTGAAGGGCCCACATCTCCCGGTCCTCCATTCTAAATGGTTTTGCTGTGACAGCTTAATTTGTGTATTGCATTTTGATTGTAAGGTGGCAAACGACAATAGTGAGTACTTGTTTAGCCTTGGGCCCTTTAATGCATCTGAGTTATTTTCTCCTGTTAACTTTTTTTTTTTTTTTGCAGTTTTCTTGAGGTAGGGGATGGTAAATACTATAGCTATTGCAAGTGGATGCAATGATAAGACAATGGAATAGTAATCTATGGTTGACTTGGTGGTGATGGGACACTAGGCTAGCAAATTATGGTAAACTACACAAAAAGTCTTCAACATCTTATAAAGATTTGATGCCATGAACCTTAACCGAATAATATATGATATATTATTTGGCCATTAACGAGGTGATTATTCTTTTTCTTATTATTTTAATATGTCCTTTTTGAATCTACTGCAGAATATTTGTATTTGGAATATTTATGATTGAAAGTTTTTAGGTAATTTGATGAGACTTGAACACCTTACAATTCATGAATGTTTGTAAATGTTGTAATAAGTAGTCTTATTATCAAAATATCATTTTTTTTAAATTCCTATCTATTTATTTTACACAAACCATTTCACCCTCTCCCACACAACCTGGTGGACAGATAAAATCTGCATACCCCGACTTCCAACAGTTGAGTAGCAGCCAGTCTGATCTGAATAGGTGATTTTAGTCAGCTCTCGCCATTTTTAAATGCAATATGCATCAGACGCTCCATGAATGGTCCGTGGGTGGTGTCGTCTGAGGCCAAGTCTGGTTTCTGATGTCCTTCTACACCCTGAAGGATTGCTCAGCAGGCACAGTGCTAATTAATTACAGCGATAAAGCCATCTGGCTATCAGTAATCCCAGGTAACAGCTTCAGACAGCTTTCAGCTGTCATTACATCGTTAGGGGTTATGCTGTATCA